GAACTGTAGGGGCCTGCAGCAATGCCAGGCTAGTTTATTCTATTTTTAGTAGAGATGGGGTCTCATTCTTGCTCAGACTGAGCTCAAACAATTCACCTGCGTTGGCCTCCCAGTGTGCTGGGATGACAGGTGTGAGCCACCACACCCTGCCAATGTCCCCTGTTCTAATGGAAAGGGTTCATGTGCATTTAAGTTGATCTGGGGATTGCCCTAGGGATTTCAGAGTATTCAAGTCTTATCAAGGGCTAGACCACAGTCAGATGCCTGGCTGTCTGCGAATTCCTGCCAAACCACTTGGGGAAGGGCCATAAAATCAAACCAGGGTCTCAGGAATTCAACCTATTTGGGGTAGAAATGGAGTTAGATACACTTTGACATAAAATTTTTGCCAGGAGTTGTTATTATGATCAACCTTTTGGGCCTGGGTCTCAGTTATCATAGTTCTGTGTCACAAATCAGAGGATACTGTTGGTCATACTTTTGTGTCATAGGCCTCTGGGAAGGTTTAGAGAAACTTTGAGCCAATACAAATAGTTTCTCTCCTGACAAATGGAGCTAATGAAATACCAGGAAGCCAATGAAATAGTGGCTTCATTTACATTTTCTATTTTTATTGTTCATCAATATGTTTATTACCATATCTTCCTCCTTAAATTTCTTTGTAGCGAGAACACAAGCTTCGTGTGTTGGAAAACTCACTCTAAATCCCCCTCCCTTATATATGTTGTCATGTAAACCACAATACTGAGTTTGGTAGAACTTCATTGCCTAATGTGAAGAAGGCCTGGATTTCAGATACACTTAAGTATTGAATATAAAAGCTACAATACATAGTATAGTTTTCTGAATGATTACTGATGCCTAGATGATGGGAAAATTCAGCATTTTCAAATGTTGTTTGGGTTTTTATTTTTATTAGTAACACCATTAGAAAGTAATGTAGTATCTTGTAGTTACATACTAGTTTTCCTTGAGCAGCTAAAACCACATAATTCTTCCTTACAAAAGTAATCCATTTTAGAGGTATGCATAATATAATTTTGCAAGTTAATCAATAGTACATTGATTTGACAAGAATGTGGTTAAATGCAAAAAAGAACTAAAGGCTCATTATGGTTAGCCAATTACTCAGGGTTAGATTAGAATGTCTCTTTTTTTTTTTTTTTGCCTATTGTACTACAAACAATTTGACCCATTCTTTCTGGGCCACTCATATAACTGTCTTCTGGTATGAGTGATCACATCCCCAGTCACATCCAGCTGTCTCATAAATGCCTGGGGTGAAAGTGCACATAGAGATTAAGTGGGGACGTAGCGTGGGGAATGAGATAAAAGATCTAGTTTGGCTCTGAACCAGTCTCTGCTCCTGGAAAATCCATTACAACCCAGTACCACAGTACAGTGGTAAAGCTGTACAACCATCTTCAATGATCTTGGCCAACATCAGTTGGTGCAGGTTAAGTGCAGAGGACCATGCCAAAAGAAAAGAACACAGATATACCTAGAACCTGAGCTCTATTCGAAAGACAGTAATGGCCCAGATGAGGAGATAGAAAGTACAGAGAGGAAGCTAAAGAGTAATGTCAGGTAGCATAATTCTTTGAAACACTTCAACCAACCAAGACTATTTTAATTTTATTTATTTATTTATTTAAATTTTTTTTGAGACAAAGTCCCACTCAATTGCCATGAGGATGAGTGCCGTGAAGTCATAGCTCACAGCAACCTCAAACTCTTAGGCTCAAGCCGTCCTCTTGCCTCAGCCTCCCCAGTAGCTGAGACCACAGGTGCCCACCACAATGCCTGACTATTCTTTTAGAGATGGGATCTCACTCTTGCTCAGATTTATCTCGAACTCCTGAGCTCAAGTAATCCACATACCTTGGCCTCCCAGAGTGCTAGGATTACAGGCATGAGCCACTGCACTCAGTGACTATTTTAATTTTTTTTAATTGGGTCTAGAGTACTTTGAGAATAAGTTCTTTTTGTGTCTCATATTTCAAGCCAATTCTCCAACCACTCCCATTAGGGTTTCTCTTGGTAGGCATTGCAAATGATATGAATATTGAATAGTATGAATATTGAAATTTCTTTTTTCTTTTGCTTAGGGTCAGTGCAGTCATTTTTGTGGAGGAAGGGGCCCCAGCTGTCTGAAATGGGCACAGAGGAAGGCTTCTGGAGTCCACCACCCAACAGTAAAGGCTCCTGTCCCCAGGTAATGGAGCGAAGCTTTCATCTACCCTTCTATGTGGCACGGCCCCTCACTGGAGGGGTTAAAGAAGCCCCAGTCTCTCCTGGCAGCTAACCCATGTGGCAACCAAGGGCTCTGGATTCATCAAGACAAATGGAGCTGACTCAGTGAAAGCTAGAATTTAAAAGAAGGTCAAGATGGATAATGTATTGTCTTTCAGGAAGTAGAGGAAAAGTACAGATTTTGGTTTCCTAATCTCTACACTAATCACCTATATCCTGGAGACAAATACATAGTTGGGCTTTTGTTTCTTCCTTTGAGCAGTCCCATTGCAGATTTTCAAATAACAGTAATGGGGAAAATCACTAGGTAACTCATGAGAGACCAAAATTGGGACACTAGTGCTCTGCAAACTGTGTTTTCTTCAGCAATCAGTTTCCTTCTGCAGCCCCAGAAGAAATGTGGGGTTAAAGCAGGCAATCACACTGGTTTGGTCAGTTACAAAGTAATTTCTTTGATCTGCACGGAACATTTAACTCAATCTCATGAAATGGTTGAAATATTACAATTACTGTTCAGACACATTGTAGGCATCTAACTTATCATTGGTGTGGTCCATGCTGTTAATTTTACAGAATGACTTATGATAAATTAATCAAAAGTATAGTAACTTAAAACTTGATTTCTTCATAATAAGATGGCTTATTTTTTCTATTTTAAAATCTTTGAATAAAAATATTTAATTTTAAAAACATTACCCAAGAGACATCAGTGTTTCTTAGTCATTACTGTCCTGTCTCCCACATTTTCCCCCAGTGATAATTTCCCCTTTCATGTATTTAACAGAATTGTTATTTTTTTCAGTAGAAGATTATAAGTAAATTGCTTGATTTATTTTCATATGGATAGCAATTAATGTCTTCTAATTATTTAAATAAAATCATCACAAAACAGAAATATTTTGTTGTATGCCTGATGACATAATTAATTATAGTCTAACAGGGCATTAGAGGAGTTGAATCAAAGGGATTTGCCAAGCTTGTTATGTAATTCTTTTTTTTTTTAAAAAAATTGACATTTATAACTCTAACTTTATAAATTAAAATTTTATGTCATGTTCTGATTAAATATTTTCTTTGCAGTCAAGACCTTGTTACTATAGATAATACAACCAGATACAGTAACTTTGAATTATTTGGAGCTTTGGGTGGTTCAATTTATGCATTAATTAGTCTCTTTGCTTAGTTTTATTTTTCATTTTTCCTCAACTCTTTGGTCTAGAAGAGTTGAGGAAAGAGTCCGTCTGATATGAGAAGCCAAAATAAAAAGGAGCAGAAGTTCTTTCTTTCTTTCTTTCTTTCTTTCTTTCTTTCTTTCTTTTTCTTTTTTGAAACAGAGTCTCACTTTGTCACCCTCAGTAGAGTACTCTGATACCATAGCTCACAGCAGCCTCAAACTCTTGGGCTCAAGCAATCCTCTTGCCTTAGCCTCCCAAGTAGTTCGGACCACAGGCACCTGCCACAACACTGGGCTATTTTTAGAGAAGGGTCTTGTTCTTGCTCAGGCTGGTCTCGAAGCTGCGAATCAGGCAATCCACTCCTCTTTGGCCTCCCAGAGTGCTGGGATTTCAGACGTGAGCCACTGTGCCCAGCCTGAAGTACATGTTTTCAAGGGATAATTCATAGAAATTTTGGTAAAGATTTGGTGCTAAAGAGGATTACTTGAGGTTTGTAGATATTAGTTAATTATTCAGTATGATACCATTTCCCAGCTAATTTAAATGTTTCTGTATTCAGTTTTGCTTTAATTGAAAATTGATATCCTGGAGTTCAGAAGAACTGTTGTTGTTTTTTTTAAATTCCGAAGAAGAAACGAACCGAAAAAAAATAATAGCCATAATTTCCCTAAGTTTTTCTTTCCATAAGTAAGAATGTGTTTTTCTTCCTCCAACAGTGAGCAGTTTTGAAGCTTTTAGGGTTTAGATTACATTTTTGTGTATTGGCATCACTTTCCATCAGGGTTTCAATAATGAAAGAAATGACATGAGACCCCAATAACACATAATATGCCATTATTTTTGAACCAGGATATCAGTATTTCCTTTGAGTGCTTCAATAACTCTGATATCTTAGAATCTGGGACTATATATGTACTAAGTTCCTGAGTAGACTAAACCTGCCAGCTCTCTGGTCAGATTCAAGGGAAAAGACACACTTTATTTTTTAGTCAGTGAGTTCCTTGGAAGAGATATCTTCCTTTCCTGCAGCTTCATGCCTCCACCAGAAATGTCATCCTTTCTTTAAAAATCCAGGTTTTATAAAAAGCATTTTTATCTAAGATACTTGTATTTTTTCCAGACTGGCTCTTTTCATTTTCTAAACTCTCATGGTCTCATTGTGCACTATTCCTGATTGAAATTCTGTTTGCCTAAAAGTCACCCTACAACATATAAAGTGAGTATTCTGCTCTTTTGTCTGGATGCTAACAAACAAAGGCTTAATACACTGTATTCTTTTGAAATCATACGATTCCAGGTCTGCCTATAACTCTTGTTTTCTAACTGATGTCCTTTTCATGTGAATAAATAATTATTGTGTGGTAATTGAAAAAAATGATAGCAGCACTAAATAGTAAATCCTCTGAAAAAGAAAACTTCAAAACAAAAAGACTGGGAGGAATGGCAAGTATCTAGTCAACTTAAGTAGCTATGACAGGTAAGAGTTTATTTTTGCTTTGTTTTCTTTTTCTTTCTCTTTTCTGAAGTCCTGAAATGAGAAACCTTCTCCACAGTATTTCATTCTGAGCTCTTCAGCTCCAGGCATGCCTGAAGCAGGGTACATTCCTGTTTGGAACTTGACAGGATTTCTGTAGCTAGAGGCCATATGCTAGGAAGATGGAAAACACCAGCCTTTACATGCCTGGTAGCTTTGTACTGTCTCAATCAGGTAAGCTGTAACTGTTTTCAATGTCATTCTGTTGCATTTTTGTGATACAGTTGGTCATCATGGTTGGATGCAGTGAGAGACAGATGCCCAGATGCCGACTAATCCTTACTCTTTCCCATGTTATTGCCGCCAGGCAGCGGATAGTCTTCAACATCAAACCTTAATTGATGTTTTCTGGATCTCTTTTTCCTGCCTATTGGCTCTGATGCACACCAGTAATCCCAAGCCCACCACTAGACACAGATGCATCAGCCTTTCATAGGCTGCCCCACCAGCTCTACTTGATGTTCCCACATGGGAAGCTGGGAGTGCTTGACTTTGCAGCTTTCCCTGCCAACTTCAATTTGTCCACACACTCCTTTGCAGGGATGTGCTAATCAGTTGTTTTGCTTTGGTTCTCCAAATCTGCTTTCTTTGGTTTTTTTGAGACAGTCTTACTATGTTGCCCTTGGTAGAGTGCCGTGTTGTCACAGCTCACAGCAAACCTCCAACTCCTGGGCTTAGGCAATCCTGTTTCCTCAGCCTCCCAACCTGGGACTGTAGACGCCCGCCACAGCACCCAGCTATTTTTTTTGTTGCAGTTGTCATTGTTGTTTAGCTGGCCTGGGTTGGGTTTGAACCTGCCACTTTTGGTGTATGTGGCTGGCACCATAACCACTGTGCTAGATGCCTTACGTAGTAGTTTGACAGCATAAGTAATGCCCCAAAGCAGTTAGGTTAGATTTTTACAATATGTAAGGATTAAAAATAAGAAAATCACATTTTCATTATTTTTGGAAGATGAAAATGCAAAATAATCTGTAGTTAAAGTACAAGTAGTAAAACAAAATCAATATATCTCAATAATACTAACTAGAAAATATGGCTAAAATATATCATTGACAAGAGTAATATAAATGTAAATTAACCGTGAAAAATTCTAACACATATCAAGCCCATTATGAAGAAAATATAAAGTGAAAAGACATTAAAAATGATGTTGTACCATGTTCATAAATATAAAGTCTTAATATAATGATGTTGTCAGGCAGTGCCTGTGGCTCAGTGAGTAGGGTGCCAGCCTCATATACC